CGAGGATACTGGAGTGGCTTCGGCTTATGATGCTGACTTTGAGAAGATGGAGGAAACGTTGAAGGAGACGAAGAAGACTTTGTCTGATGCTAACATTTCCAAGGAGGATATTGAAGAGATGAGCAAGAAATTGGCACTTCTGAAGAAGCAAGTTATCGCTGGAAGAGAAAAGTTGGGAGCTATTGAGACTAGAATTTCTAATGTTACTCAGGCTGTTGACTTTGCGCAGAAGGATTTGGAACACTTGCAAAAGGAGGCTGATAAGGTTACCAAGGCAACGATCGAGTTGGAAGATAAGGCTAGTAAGATCAAGGAGGCAGATGTTTTGGGAGCATTCAACATCACCAGAGAATCTGGAGCCAAATCGATGGACGCCCAAAGAAGAACCGATGCTGCTATTGGAAAATTGGCTGCCGCCGAGAATCAAGCTATTCGTGCTAGTGAACTTTTGGAGAAGAATAAGAACGACTTTGAGAAGCAATACTTGGAGAATGAAGCAGCTCTCAACGAAGCCGAAACTCTTCTTTCCTCCCTTGAATCCTACTTGCCACGTCTCAACGAACAAGTCTGTGGAGCTTCTAGCGCCCCTTGTGATGCTCTTTGTGGAGGACCAGGATCCTGTGGATTCTGTGGAGGACAATCGTGTATGGAAGGAGCTGTGAGCAAAGCAACTCAGGCAAAGAGCTTTGCTACTGAAGCAGACACTAGACTGGATGAGAAACAGAAGGAAGCGGAGGAAGTGTTGGCTATTGTCAGAGATGTTCTTACGGAGACCACAAAGGCTAAAGCGCAAGCTGAAAAGGCTTATGAGGTGGCAAAGAACACTGCTCAGCGAGCCAATAATTCGAGAGCCGGACTTGACAAGATTACCGAGGAGATTGGAGAGTTCTTGAATGCGCAGAGAAGTACTCCAGACCAAATTCGCATGTTGGCTGAGGAAATTCTAGCTAAAAAGATTAGTTTGACACCGGATCAAATTACTGACTTGACTGGAAAAATCAGAGAATCATTGGCAAAGATCAATAACATTGATGAGATTCTCAATGAGACCAAGAGCAATAAGACTATTGCTGCTAATTTGGAAGCTAGGGTAAGTGTTTTTTTTTTGCTGTTTCAGGACTTTGATAAGATTTCGTGTTATGTTGTTATAACTATTCTGACGAATTTTCATCCAGTGTTGCAAAAATTTCAATTTTTCAGGCCGTCCATGCCAATAAACAAGCGGAAGACCTTCAAAAGGCAATGGAAGAGATCCGTGAAGGACTCCAGCTCGCTGAGCAAGCTCACAAAAACGTCACCATCGTCCTTGAAGAAATCGACACCATGCAGAAACAAGCCAGAGAGCACATTGAAAAGACTCGAAACTCTACTGCTCTTGTTGAGGAGAAGGCTCAGAATGCCAACACGACATTGACAGAGTTGGAGAGTGTGATGAGTGGAGTCAAGGTGGAATATCTCCAGATTTCGGAATCAGCTAAGAATGCGTTGACTACTGTAGATGCCGCGTTGGCAGCTGCTACCAATGCCGAGGAGAAGAATAAGCAGATTCAGGTAAGTCAACTGGTTGCTTGCTTTATGGGTATGGACTATCAAAGTTCGACCTAGAAAGATAAGAATTTTTTTGGAACTTAAAACAGAAAACAATTTTTCATGTTTCAGTTTTCTGTGAATATCTTGTACATTCTTTTCTGATACTATGTCATTATCATAAATTTCATCTTTCAGTCCGACCTGGAACGTGCGAACGAGTTGCTCGAGAAGCGAATGGAAGGAAACGTGGCACCACAGCAGAGAGCCGAAAAATTGAGAGAACGAGCTGGAAAGTTATTGTACCAGGCACAGAGGCACAACGATGATATTGATAGTGAGTTGATTTTTTTAATTGACAGTTTTCTTTTTCAATTTTTTATATTCCAAGTTGACTGGAACAATCTTTTTTAAATCTAATAGTTATTCGATTTTGTCAAATAGTCCCTTCTAACTTTGGCTCAATTTATCTCGGTTCCAATAAAAGATATCAAAAACGTTTTAACTGATAAAATATTGTTCATATTATGATGAACAATTTATCAGTTGACCAAATTTTGATACCTTTCACAGGAACCGAGATAATTGAGCTCAAAGTGCACGTGGAGAGTAGTCTTCTATTATAACATTCAGTTTAGGTAACTTTTACTCAAATTATCTCGGTTCTCGTGAAAGATATCGAAAAGTGGTCAATCAGCAAGATATTTATCAGGATATCAGTAATATTTTATCAGTTGACAACTTTTAAATATCTGTCACAGGTACCGAGATATATAGGGTCAAAGTTAGGAGGGCTACTTCACCACGTTTTACGGTAAGCCGCTTATAATTTGGACCGAAAGGGTCAATTGGTCCTAAAACGAGATATTTCTCTACTTTCAAACATCATTTTTCATTTAGCCTTATTCTTGTGGATAGTAAGAAAATTTCAGCTTACAAAGTTGTAATTCTACTTCTGTTCCAATTGACTCAGTAATCTGACACAAAATATAAGTAGTTACTAATCTCCATACACTCAATTTCTAACTATAGTTAACTATCTCTTGAGCGGTATTAGATTTTCGAGATTCAATACTTCTTTTTCTAACACCCAAACCGCTCATTCTCAACTTTTCCACAATTTTCAGACTTATCGAAAGACTCGACCGAAATGAGACTGGACGACTACGAGGCAATTCTGGCTGATCTTCATGCCCGTCTGCAACGAGTTTCAGACGATATCAGTGAGAAGACCGACTTCCATGCCACGTGTGGATAATTCTATTTTTGATAATTTTAGGATAATTTTTTTCTTATTGTTTTTTTTTCGTCTTTCTCTCATGGGCTTTCAGTTATTTTTTGAACTACATTTTCAATTTCGAAACTGAAAAATTAATTTTTTACAAAGTTCAATTAACTTTAAGCCCTGAGTACCCATTATTTTTCTTCCTGAAAAGTTGTCAAAAAATTTGAAACTCCACCACCGAACTTCCCCCAATTCATCCCGCTTTTCGAAAACGGTTGTTATTTCCTTTCCCTTATTTTTTTCATTTTAAAGTTCAAATCCTTTTTCTCTAATTTATGTTTTCCCCCAACCTTGCTGCTTAATTTTTATGCATCTCAACTCTACTTTCACATTTTTTTTCAGTTACCAAAAATTCATTCTGTGCCTTATTTTGTTTTTTTTTCTTTTGTTTTTATTTACTCTTTCAGATTATAAATCTATTGGATGATTTTAAACTATTTCATTTTCTTTGTATGAACTCGACGAAAAAAAGCTAAAATCAACTAAAAGTAGACCAAAAACGAATATCTTTATTAAAAAACTTCCGAAAACAAGAATTGTTCGTCCTCCTACTTTTTTGTGTTCAGGTTAACTCGGCCTGAATCCCAAAAAACATCCGGCAACCATGCTGCAAATTTTAAAAGACCCTGTTCAGAATACACCGAAGAACTGAATCATTTAACCGATTTAAGGTTTTGAAACTGCGAAGTTGAAGAAAAAATGTTTGCAATTAGTAGAAATTGTTGTGTCCCTCCTTTATGAAAAACCGAAATTTTTATTTGGGGCTATTTAGATTTTTCGGACTTTCCATTAAATTTGAGTTTTTGAATACTAATTGTGGAATAAATGTTTCAGCGGCATAGTATACAGGTAAAGGGGGACTGCCGAAAAACTGCTAAATGACAGCTGAAGAGGCGCAAACTGGCGAATGACTGCTAGTTGGCAGCCGAAGGAGAACCGACAGGCCGTCGACGGTCCGTCGACGGACAGTCGGTACCGATTGGAAAACATACTTGAAGGTTCTGGTTGGAAATCATGCAGAAAACAATTTCTCATACTCCCACTAGATTATAGAATGTTGATAGAATCTTATTTTCCTCAAATATGACCACCCCAAAAAATAGGTTGTTGAACGACTGCTAAATGACAGTCGAAGAGGCGCTGACTGGCCAACGACCGGTGGTTGGCGGTCCAAATTCCTTCAGAATGGAAAATTTTGTTGAAAAAATAGTTCTCTGAAAATGCTAACACATGCTTTTAGATATAAACCAAGGAATTTTCAAACATATTTTTTATTCAGCCGCCATCAACCAGTTAGCGTCTATTCGACTGTCATTTAGCAATTTTTCACCAACCGCGCCTCAAATCCTAATTTTTATAGAAATGCTTCTAATAACGCATTTTCTTGCTTCCCAGACCCCTCTATGACTTTTATGATGTTTTTAGAACAAAATACAAGGTACGTTACGTGCCTTGTATTTTTGAGGCACGTAACGTGCCTTGTATTTTTGAGGCACGTAACGTGCCTTGTATCTCTGAGGCACGTAACGTGCCTTGATGTCACCAAAATCGACAAACCATTTGGTGGAAAAGTGATCATCCTTGGAGGCGACTTCCGCAAGTGCCTTCCAGTTGTGCACAGAAAAGGAAGAGATGAGCAAATTTCCATCAAAAGATCTCATCTTTGGCCACTTTTCCAAGTCTACCATTTGAAGACCAACATGCGTGCCCAAAATGCTGATGAAGAATGGAAAAAGTAAAAAATTAGATATTTAATTTATAATTTTCAATCTCATTTTTTCAGTTTCCTTCTTGGGGTTGGCGATGGTCTGAAAGGAGAAGAGGGGACTGGAGTCATGGAAGTTCCAGAAAATCTCAGATGCGATGGAGATTTGGCCGAGGAAATCTTTGGATCTTTACTTCGAAACGGGTCTAATGTTTCTGAAATCTCCAAAGTGGCCATTCTCTCTCCAACCAACCAACAAGCACTTCAAATGAATCAAAAAGTGATCCACAGTTTCAAGTGACGATTTGGGGCTCATAGGAGCTTCATCCCAAAATACGACATCAAGTTCGGCGAGGTATTTGGCTTCGGCGGATTGAAAATGGATGGTGCAGGTCTTACATCTATCCTTGATGTTACGATGAAAGAAGGAAGCCACCGTTCTTCCATGAGGCAATAGAGATGCAGCGATCCCAATCCACGCAATTGGGATGACTTTCAGATGCATACCTTGGAGGATGTTGATGAGAGTAAGGTATACATATGTTTTGCCGCTTCCTCCTGGTCCATCAGTGTAGATGCGGATAGCAGCTCGAGATGTACCTTTGTAAAGATATTTGTAAAGGTATTTAACTGCTCCGACGTTCCCACAAATTTCCAAATTCGCATGACTTCTGAACTTTCTGGAGAGGTACTTGTTGTATGGGACCACACTTCTATTGTCCAGTTTAACAACTCCGGAGTTTTTCGTTTGTCTAGAAATGTCTAGAAAGTTCTGGAATTTTCTATAATGTTCTGGAATTTTAGAATGTTCTGGAATTTTCGAGAATTTTCTGGAATTTTCTAGAATGTTCTGGAATTTTCTAGAATGTTCTGGAATTTTCTAGAATGTTCTGGAATTTTCTAGAATGTTCTGGAATTTTCGAGAATTTTCTAGAATTTTCTAGAATGTTCTGGAATTTTCGAGAATTTTCTGGAATTTCCTAGAATGTTCTGGAATTTTCGAGAAAGTTCTGGAATTTTCGAGAAAGTTCTGGAATTTTCTATAATGTTCTGGAATTTTCTAGAATGCTCTGGAATTTTCTAGAATGTTCTGGAATTTTCTAGAATGTTCTGGAATTTTCTAGAATGTTCTGGAATTTTCTAGAATGTTCTGGAATTTTCTAGAATGTTCTGGAATTTTCTAGAATGTTCTGGAATTTTCTAGAATGTTCTGGAATGATGCAGAGCTTTCGAGAGTATTCTAAACTGTCCTGGAATTCTCTAGAATGTTTTGCAGTCGAAAAAAAAACACGGCAACCAAATTTACAGTAGGTCACAGAATTTGAGTTAATCACGAAAAAAATGTTACAAAAAAATTCTGTTGCGAAGCTTTCAGCTCAATTTTTTGTGGGCAGCACATAGATAGGCCTGAAAACCGTTTTTGAGAATTCCCTGAAGTTTAGTGAGTTTCAACATAATTTTGAAATTTTCGATTCTCAACTCTATAGATTCCCGATTAGCTAAAAGGCCCAGGACACCATGGACATGAAGCGCTCGGTAGTCCATGGCTACATACCACACACCATTATAGGAGTTCCATGCCCTTTGGAGTTATTCAAGTAAATGTCCGAGATGGACACACACACACAGAAAAGTTTCCTTAGTAAGAAGTAGATTTTTGAATTGATTTGGCGTAGTATTAGGTTGGCGGGAAAGTCTTTGTCACTCTGTTTGTTTAATCACTGTTCTCGTATATGGAGGCTGTGTATGATATCGACTCTAGTGAATAACAAGGTGATAAGAACCTTCCATATAAACAAGTCCCCATTTCCTTCCCTGCTCCTCATCTGTAATTGAAACGATATGTTTGTTCCCACTGCTATTCACATCAGACATGTTTTGATTTACCTCTTCCTATCTCACACCACGATGAAGGATTCGGAAACTTTCTTGAAGAATGTGTACAACACACATGCCCCTCACTACAATACTATTCGCAATTGGTTCCATCGTTTCGAAAAAGATGACTTCTCGCTCGATGAAAAGGATCGCTCTGGGAGACCCCGTGAGTTGGATTTGGACAAGCTGAAGCACGCATTGCAATCGGATCCATTTCAATCTAGCCGTGAACTAGCTGTCACATTCGGAGTTCACCATAGCACAGTCCTTGAAGGTTTGAAGTCTCTTGGAATGAGAAAACTTTTTGGTCGATTCATACCTCATCACCTGACTCAAGCCAACCTTGACCGCCGAGTCGACGATTCGATTACTCTTCTCACTCTCCACGCGGGCGATCGATGGCTGGACCGGCTAATAACCGGAGATGAGAAGTGGGTCTTCTACGATAATCACCACAGGAAATCCCAGTGGGTTGGAGAAGGAGAGAGCCCACAGGATGTCCCCAAACCCGGCCTTCATCCGAAAAAAGTTATGCTCTCTGGTGGTGGGGAGTGGACGGCCCCATCTACTGGGAACTTCTGCCCGAGGGCAAAACAATAACTGGAGACCTCTACACTACTCAACTACGAAACCTCAAGAAAGCAGTCGACCGTTCGGCCCTGAAAGACAAGAAAGTGTACTATCAACATGATAACGCTCGCCCACATGTTTCGAAACAAGTGAAGCAGGAGCTGATGGGATATGGATGGAATGTTCTCCCTCACCCCCCGTATTCTCCTGATCTTGCTCCTTCCGACTATTGGTTATTTGGCGATATGACACGTGCCTTCGAAGGAAGAAGCTTCAATTCCCGTGGAGCGGTCGAAGCGGCACTCAAACAATACTTTGCCTCACGCCCGGCTGGATTCTACCGCAATGGAATCCATAAATTGAGGGAACGTTGGAGACATGTTGTTGATAATGATGGACAATATAATTAATTATTCGGTTATTTTTTCTTTGAGAAATAAACTATTGAAAAAGTGACAAAGACTTTCCCGCCAACCTAATAGATGAAGTTTAGCTGAAATTTGAAATGTCCTATTTTCCCCCTAGAACTCGGATTGGCAAATTGTTCTCAGAAGTCCGTCGAATTCGATTCGAAATGACATGAAAATGACGCTGTGATAAGCCTGATAAGTTTTGAGCATGTTTCTTATCGTTTCAATTCGATTTAGTCTCGGGAGAAGTCAGGTTTCGCACAATATCTCTAAATTAACAGAATCAGGCTATTCACAACTTGTATTCGTGAAAATCTTCTTCAAAAGCCTATGTTCAGTTCAGAAACATACGCATAATGTCAATAATACGAAGCAAACTAGGAATCTATGAAATTTTATCTGAAAAAGTATGAAAAACTGGACTTTTTTCAGAAAAAGCATAATACCGCAAAGTCGGAGAATTTTAAACAACGAAAGCTATTAAAATCTGATGAAGAACATTTTTCTCTACAATTCTTAGGTTGTCCCATCGTTTTTTATTCAGTTTGAGCTGAGATATCGTCATCTGAAACGCGAACGTAAATTGACAACACAAATTGACCGTCAGCAAGCGCGCTCCGTTGAACAACTTTTCCGGCGCGATATTCAAATTAAAGTTTTTCGGTCAAAAACTATTTCGGCTCAAATAAAAAAAAGCACAAAATAACAAGAAATATGCGAAATCACTCCTCTTGGAAAGTTTAAAACATTTTTACTCACCAATAATTGTTACAACACAAGTTTTTCATCGCCAATGCTTTTTTACAATATTTTCTGGTCTTTTTTGTCACATTGTTGAAAAAAAATGGTCGTGTTAATGGAAAATTGAGAATAAAATGTTCATGATCATCAAATTTCATAGTTTTGAATTTGGTGCCTCTTCTGATCTGAACCTCCTGAGCTCAGCTTACAATACCCGTAATCTTATGAAGAGGCTTCGTCACTTTTATTCCGCGTCTAAAGTTGGAACTTTGGAAGCTTAGAAGTTCAGGAAACTCAGAATTTAAGTGTTTCTGGAACTTAATTGTTTGGAAATCAAGATACCGCAAACACTCTAATAGAACGCCACCCGAATCGTCAAATTTTAGCTCATGTATCTCATTTTCTGTGAGAGATATCAAAAAGTGATTAACTATTAAACGGTGGTTGATATCATAATAAACATTTTAATAGTTGACAACTTTTTGATATCTTTCAAAAGAAGTGAGACATATAGGCCCAAAGTGAACAGTCCGGGTGGCGTTCTATTAGAGTGTTTACGGTATCCAGAATATAGAGAATTCGAAGAATCAGAAATAACAGAGTCTTAATTCGACAAATTCTTTTGCTCACACAGCGAACCGCGTTAAGAAAATTTTCAGAGCTTGAATTCATTTGCAATTCAGATACTTCTGAACACGCTGTTTACAAAACTGAAGTCCTTTTTTCACGAGCTCTGAAAATACGGACTTTTTACTTTTCCAGTGCATTATTGAAAGGCTTAATGAGAGTTTTTAATAGTTTTATGAATTTAAATCGTATTTTTGTATATTTCTACACAATCTGGAAAATATTTTTTCATTTGTTGAAAAAAATTTCCATGGGGTCCCCGCCTATGCTTTAAAAAATTTGGTGCGCAAAAGGAGGTGTTAAGACCAGTGTGTGTTTCTCGAAAGCATGCGAGAGATTCCTCGAGATCCCTCGAGATCTCTCGTAAACATCTCGAGAGATTACGAGGAATCTCGAGAGATTACGAGGAAAGGAATTTTCAGCGTGATGACCTAATTTTCGACATCAGAATTTTCTAGGCCACCGTAGCGGATGGCCTAGAAATGGCCAAACATTCTCCGATGTGTTTTCTAGGATATTTTTGACGTGGTGGTCTAACTTTTGCAACACTTGAGTTTTCTAGGTCACCTTGTTAAAATGACCTAGAGATGCCCTGATACTCATTTGGTGGTACATTTAGCCCGTTTTGAGGTGGTAGCCTAGATTTCGAAAAAAAGAATGTCAGAAACCCGGAATTACAGGGTGGGGAATAATTTTAGCGCCCAAACTTTGTGTAAGCTCTGGCGCCTGCGAAACGGTCTGCTTTGCACACAGTAATATTTTTTTGCTTCGTTATTTCGTTCTAAACAATTTCTGAAAGTTTCAGGCAATTATTCCAACTTTGAAGGTAATGGTCTCTATTCACAGTTTTAATTCCAGTATTAAACTCAGAATTTCGAAATTCGAAAAACCTCTAACAAGATCTTCCGAATTGAAGTTTTCGAACTTCAAAATTTTTAGCTGGTGTTCTGTAAATTCTGAATATTGTATTTCCTCTAAAACCACCCCACAAGGTGATTCGAAAAATAGAAGCCCACCCTCTAATAGAAGTCCACCCTGACAAAGAAGTTGGACAATAGACGTCCATGGATTTCTATTAGAGGGAATATGGTATCTTAAAATTTGAATTAAATACTGAATTTCACAATTTCCGATTTTGAGGCTCTTTATAAAAGTGTTGAAACATTTTAATAAGATTACGGGTACTGTAACCGAGGGCCAGGAGGTTCAGCCCCGAAGGGGCGCAAACCGACTGGTTAGTTATTGTTCAAATCAAAGGCTTAAGCTGAAACGGTTTGTCGGAAAACAGGTGTTTTATTATGCTTGTCTGAGAAAAAAAAGGTTGAGGCGCAGAGAAAAAGTGTCTGCGTCTCCACCGTTTGTGTGCTATTTAGGCTCTCCGCTTCGATATCGCTACCGTATTCAGACTGCAAAAAATACTCTCTAACCTATTTTTCTCAGACAAGCATAATAGCCTAAGCCTATAATATGAGAAAAAATCGAAAATTCCAAAAAGTTCAGTCAAAAAGAACTATAAAACGAAATAGTGTAGTCAAAGAGACATTGTAGTCAAAGAAAATGTGGAGTCAAAGAGTAATTGTCAAAATTTTGTGCGAAGAAATTCGTTAATTTGAAACTCTAAAATTTACTTTTATTGCTTTTTTTGCAATTTTTTCTGAGTTTTTGAATCCTAATGTCCGCATTTGTCATTATCTGATTTTTCGAGTTTCTGAACTTCATAGTTTTTGGGTCTTCGAATTCCCGAAATTTCGAATTTTAGAGATGCTGAAATTCGAAACTTCATACATTCAGGAACCCTGGAACTTCTAAATCTCAGAAAATCAATCGGAACTTCGGAAATTCAGAAACATAGGAATATAGGAATGCAGAAAACACTAAATTCAAAAATTCGGCGATGCAGAATTTTAGAGTTTCTGTGGATTTTCCCTTTTCAATCGATTTTCCATTAACACGACCATTTTTTTTACAACAATGTGACAAAAAAGACCAGAAAATATTGTAAAAAAGCATTGGCGATGAAAAACTTGTCAAGTAACAATTATTGGTGAGTAAAAATGTTTTAAACTTTCCAAGAGGAGTGATTTTGCATATTTCCTGTTATTTTGTGCTTTTTTGCTGTTTTTATTTGAAATTCTGACAGAAATTTGAGCCGAAATAGTTTTTGACCGAAAAACTTTAATTTGAATATCGCGCCGGAAAAGTTGTTCAACGGAGCGCGCTTGCTGACGGTCAATTTGTGTTGTCAATTTACGTTCGCGTTCATCTGAAAAAAATCTCTGAAATTTAACACTGAAAATACAGGCGCGCTCCGCCGCACCATCTGATGGCGGCTTTTTGGCGCGATCGCGTTTCGGCAGGCTGTGCACTAAAAGTAGCTTTTTTTAAAACTATAATTGAGAATAGAAGAAATTTCGAAACTTTTTTCGAAAAATCTAAATCGTGTATCTCCCTTCTCGTTTTTCGTCTAAGCTAGTTGCATTTGCTCTTGAAATGTGTGTTTTAGCTTACTGAACAATTTCAACGCAAATCGATTCAAAAAACATAGCGAAAAAAGACAAAAAATTACGCAGAAAACCCATTTTTCGGTACATCGTCAGGCTATTTGAACAACCGCCAAAAACGAGAACTGCGCTAACCATCCGGCTTCGCGCATCTCGCGAGCAGCAACACCTGGCGCACTTCTCGTGATTCTTTTTTTCTTTTTTTTTACACTTTCCCTTTCGTTCTCGTCTAAAGTTACGTTGCTTTCATGTGTTTCCGATGACTTTTCATGTCGAAAACAACATGTTTACGGTGTATTAGTTGCAAAAATTGCGGAATCGCTGTCATTTTCGCTCCTTTTACCTGGTATTTTTGTCTGAAAAATTATTTATTCCTACAGATGAAACACTCACACCTCTACGAGCTGCAACCCGACCCATACGACTTTACGCAACGGAAAACGTGCAGAGTGTGTCTGTTTAAAGATGTAAAAAACGCGGTAAGTCTTGGAATGAGTAAAATTTCGGAAATTCGCTAAATTTTCAGGCGGAACTCTCACAACTACTGAAAGAGGGAAAAATCGATGCGGCGTTGATTCGTGCGGAGCTCGTACTCGAACCATTTGTACTTCTCGCCGCCGCGAATCGTGCTGTTCATCAGTCGGCTCATAATCGAATGAGTTGCAGGAGTTTGTCGGCGGAGCTCGTCTACTCGCTATCGCCAAGCAGAAATGTAAGGGATTTTGTGTGGAGATGGAGAAAAGAAAGAGAATTTCTCAAACAATTGACCTCAAAAAGCTCAATTTGCTGATTAAGTCAATTGTTTTATTAGTGTTAATTAGCGCAGAAACATCAAAAGATAAGCGTATTTTTCAGCATATTTTTTCAAATATGCGACTTTTTTTCCATTTTTTCGATGAAAAACGTATTAAAATGATGAAAATCATCGAAAAGCGGTAGTAAACGTCGAAAAATTATGAACACAAACTCAAAAGGTGCTGTAGTTCGCTCTTGCACCCTTAAGAAAAAGTTTAACGAACTATCCGCTCTTAACTTGAATGGATCTTGGACAAAAGTAATATAGGGTTTCCGGAAAGAATCTCTAAAAAAACTGACTGAAAAAGCTCAAAATGCTGATGAGCTTGATTAATTAGGGTTAATTAGCGATAATAAACGCCAATTAACCTGAAAATAGACGCAAAACCATCAAAAACGCCAGGAGCGCCGCCTAAATCAGCGAAAATACATTCAAAATGACAAAAACCACTCGAGGACAGGTCATGATTCATGGAAGATGGGCGGAGCTTATCACATGGTCAAAACGCAATCGCCGCACGGTTATCGGCTTGAGCAAACTCCGCCCATTTCCTGGCACGGGATTTTCAAAAAACAGAATTGCCAAATACACAAAGTACCGTAAAACCTCTAATAGAGGGCTCCCCCTGTAATAGAAAGGCTCCCATCAAAATGTGTTGTTTAAAGTTGAACATTTCTTTACGTTTTCAGTGAAAATGGCTCAATTTTGGTGAAATTGATCGATTTTACATGAATTTTGAACGAAAATTTGACGAGTTTTTCAATGGAAAATTTCGAAAAAATGGCCGGCCCTGCTAATCCAGGTTTTACGGTATTCAATTTTGCACATTTTTAGATCAGCGACTCCTTGGTAACATTCGGAATCGCCGAACACTCGACTGCTCTAATCGCCGCCATTTTCGACGACAAATCTGGAAGTGAAATGAAGAAATTGGCGAAGAAAATCAAGGGAACACCAGAACCAATGATGTCTGGACTGCCGAAATTTGCAAATGTCAGCCTTATCAAGAAGGTTTATCAAGTCGGAAACCCGGCATTTGCCGAGGAAGGACTCTCCGATCACATCGTTTCGAGAATGGTTTCCAAGGATTTCGTCTCATAATTGATTTTTTTTATTTTCTGAAATTCTGTTTTTTCTGACCACTCTGTCCTGACCAAAAAAATTCTGTCCCCTAACACTTTCGAAAAAAATGCAATCTAGTTTCTGTCTGCTCCTCACTAATTCGCTTATCACTATCAATTATCACCCCGATTTTCTCGAATTTCCCATCCACCCCCGCCACGAACATCTCAATAACTGCCTTATACCGAACCTTCCCTTACGATCAAAAAATTGTTTTTTTCTTCGCAGTCTGTATAGCTTTTCTGTTTCTTTCTTTCCTTTTTTCTCTGTAATAAACCAGATTTTATGTTAATTACTTTTCCAATTTTCCTTGTAATTGCTATCGATTTTTGTATTTTTTTTCTTATCCAGGAGGCGTCTCTTTTATGCTCAAAATTTGTCATTTTCAGAGGCAATAGGGGGAATTCTGTAAGTCTTTTTATTCGAAAAATGTCATGGCTTAAAATTTCATTGAGATAAAAAATAGAGAAAAAATATGCGCAGATTGGGACCCGTATATACAGAAGATGTAGTCGATTTTTATCAGTTAGGGCCTGAAAACTAGCGACAAAATGATCAAAATTCCGGCTGATGGATAGATCAGACCGTTGCTGGAATTGCACAAGTTGTCACTGCAACAGCAGTTCTTCTCGTCGCCCGGACCGCGGCAGCCGTCTTCCTGAAAACTAGATGATTTTTGGATAATTTTAGGACAATTAGCCGATTTTTATTCGTTTGATTTTCAGCCTAAATTTAGAATTTGGTGAAATTGTTTCAGCTTTTATTGGAATTTTCGAAATTCTGAAACGTTCCGAAAGGCTTTTTTCGGTATTTTTTAAAAGAAAAGCGAAATTCATACTAAAAATGTTTTCCAGTCGAAACACGAAGAACAAATTTTTATCATGCACCTTTAAGAATACAGTATATTTTTGTCTCGAAAATTTTGAGATTTTTGGTTTATTTTGTGCGAAATTCGAGATTTTTCTGACTTTTGCCTAACTGAAACTACATCTCATTTCGGCTAATTGAACGTTTTTTTCCGTAATTTTTGCTTAAAAACACAATTTTTCCAATTTAAAAAAAAGTCGGAAAATTGTGAAAAAATAATACTTTTCCACTCGAAACGCCAAGCAAACATCTTCATCACGCGCCTTTAAAAATACAGTAATTTGGAAAATTAGAGATTTCATTCAAAAATCCGCCATTTGAAGCTGCAGCTCGATTTCGACTAATTTCTATGTTTATTTCCGGAATTTTTTCTAGCGAAACTGAGAAACTAAGAACATCTGTTCCGAATTCTTCAAAATCCAAAAAAAAACTCACAAAGCACTTTCCGGTCTCTCCGCAACTCTTCGTAATCGTATAACTGTCGTCGCCTTGCTTGTGTCGTTTCACATAGCTGTTGAAACAATAGTCGGCGTCGTTGCATTGGACTGCAAGTTTATCAAAATCGGGGATGGAATTTTCTACAATTTATCCTTTTTTCGTAAAAAAAACTGTTTAAATATTGTATTTCCTCCGGAAGATTTTAGAATTTTCTTCTTTCATTTTCTATAAAATCGGCTCGAACTACGGTATATCCTCTTATAGGAGCCCAAGCAAACCATCAACTTTGAGTTCAATTTTATAAAATCTCAATTCCTGTGAGAGATGTCGAAAATTTTTCAACTGATAAACTATCAGTGATAATATGGTAGGTATTTTATCAGTTGACAGATTTTTGATTCCTATAGGAACCGAGATAATTGAGCTCAAATTTGACAGATTTTAGTCTTCATTACGAGAAAGTTGAATTGGTAACCTACCCGACTGATAAGGTCCCCCGATCTCTGTTGGCAGACGTCTTCCGTTCGAAATCGTCTCCTGACCCACCCAACATTGGATAGCAGCCAATGCAGTCGGTGCAAGAACACAAAGCAACACAAAAATCCACGAGATTTGAGTCATTTTAGTTAAAATTCACCCACTTCCAAGCTACTTTTATACTTCCCCACGCCCTAACTTTCTTCCAGTAAGTACTAAGTACCGATACCAGTTCATCACCTGGCTAGAAATAGTGTGGGATTTGAAGAGGGTGGTGGGTTATTTCTGTGCCATGAGGAGCAGCACAAAAAAGCGATGTAAATATTCGAATGTTTGCGGAATAGTGAAGCGGGCGGCACAAACACACATACACAGTTTTCAAATATTTGCAACTTTACTGTTTAGCTATGACTTGTTTGGGGGAGGGAGGGAAAATTGTTTTTTGAAGAAGAGAAAGGAGAAAAGCTTGAAACTTTAAAGCCTGGAAAATTACAAAAAAAATATTAATTTTCTAATATGATTCTTGTTCGACAGGAATGACCCGAAAATTCATTTAAAGGCGCATCGTCGGTCCAGCAGCGAACTCGTTTTCTTGTGCCCTTGAATTCCATGCGCCTTTAAAGGTTTTAAATTTTTCGAGACTAATTATCTTTGGCTCATTTTTTTTCTCTCGATTTGTCGAATGTTTTCATTGCTGTCGTTCAGTTTTGTGCTTTTGCATCGAAAATATCATAAAAACTTTTGAAAAATCAAGAAAAATAGGCAGACCCTGTGTAGAAAAATTTGTAGATTCATATACATAGAAACAAAGAAAAAATTCAATGAAATCGGCATAATCTCGAAAAATAGCTCCTCGTCCATTTCTGGAAACTTCTGGAATGTTCTCGAATCTTTTTTTGAATACCCGCCAAAACTGAAAACTCCGAAAATTAGCGAATTTTGCGAGAGAAAATATGATTTGTTATTAGGATTTTTAGCGAAATTTTTACACCTTTTTTAGGTTTTTCAGCTATTTTTGATAAATCTTTTTCGATTTTTCCGGATTTTTTGTCTGAAATTTTACAGGATAGTGTTCGCGAAGATTACTGTAGATTACTGTAAATCTTCTATTTTGTAGTTTTTTTAACACAATCACGTCAAAATGCAGATCTCAAAAAAAAACTACAAAAGAAAAATAGGTTTCTTCATTAATCTACAGTAATCCTCTCGAAAACCGTCGTTCCATCAAATTTCAGACAAGAAAAACCGTAAAAACCGAGAAAGAATCTTCGAAAATAGGTGAAAACCTTAAAAAGGTCTAAAAATTTTTGAAAAAAAATCAAAGAAAACATACATTTTTCTCTCAAAAAAATCGCCAATTTCTCGGAATTTTCAGTTATGGCGGGAATTCAAAAAAAAAAAGATTCGAGAATATTCCAGATATTTTCAGAAATGGACGAGAAGCGATTTTCGAGATCAGTACTAGAATAATAACTATTCTTCGTCTCAGATGCTCCTCCGACACCATCAACTTCTCCTCCGACTCTCCCGCCTATCCTCCCTTCAACAATGCTTCCCATCCTCCTCCTCCACAACATCGTCTCTTCTAACTTCTGAAAACGGCGAGAAATTCCTGAAAACCGTCACCGAACGTCTGGCACAATGCCAAGCTGGAAACGCCACCGCCGCTCCCGAACAAATCAGTTATTGGGAAGCGATTGCAAAACAGTCTAGTGTGGTTTCGGATACACGATTCGAGCTAGCTCAGTTGAATTCGATAATTAAGGATCCGAATGAAACAGAAGAGATGCGAAAATTAGCGGAAGCTGACGTGGAATCTTTGAAGGAGACATTGGAAACGGGACTGAAAGAGTTGGCAGCAAGAGTTGTTCCTTTAACAAACTTGGATGTTTTGTCAAAATGTCAAATCGAATTGAGCAGTGGTGCTGGAGGTCAGGAAGCGATGCTCTTCACTGGAGAACTCTTGGATATGTACCAGAAGTTGGCGGCGACGAATTCGTGGAAATGGGATCCATTACAGGTACTTAAGAGCTTGCCTAACTCTTGCAAATAGAGTTTTCTAGACCACCAGGCTGGAATGACCTAGAATTGAGTTGTATTCACCTGGTCTGTTTCCTGGTGTGTTTTCACCGCTTCAAAATGATTTAGAAAACACACCAGGTGAATGTCACTCAATTCTAGGTCATTCAGCATGGTGGCCTAGAAATCGCAACACGCAAAAGTTAGACCACCTTGTCAAAATGGTCTAGAAAACACACCAGGAGCATGTTTAAACGTTCTTCGGCGATTTTACCATGGTGGCCTAGAAAAATAAACTTGCAAAAATTAGGCCACCTCTTCGAAATGACCTAGAAAACACACCAGGAGCTCGTCAAGCCGTTTTTAGACCATAAAAGTTGGTGGCCTAGAAAACTCAACTTGCGAAAGTTAGGCCACCACGTTAAAATGACCTAGAAATGACCTGATATCCAACTGGCTTGTTTTCTAGTTAATTTTTAAGTAGTGGCCTAACTTTAGCAACATGCATTTTCTAGACCATCATGGTCTACAAAGCAACGAAAAATCCAATATTTCAGGTGGACAGCGTCCCCCTTGGAGGTGTTCGAAGTGCTCTGATCGCTGTCTCTGGTGAGAACGTCTACTCAAAAATGCGATTCGAAGCGGGTGTTCATCGTGTCCAACGGGTTCCAGTGAACGATTCTCGAATGCACACATCCACAGCGAGTATCTCAGTGCTGCCGGAACCCGAAGAAGTTTCCGTGGTGGTTCCCAGTGATTCGGTGAAAATTGAAGCGATGCGAGCGAGTGGACCCGGTGGTCAGAATGTGAATAAACGGTCGACTGCGGTTCGAATGACACATAAGGAGACAGGAATTGCCGTGCATTGTATGGATGAGCGATTTCAACATCTGAATATTCAGGTAGGATTTTTTCTAGCATATTTTTCGTGTGTTGATTTCCTAGGTCATTTTAACATGGTAGCCTAGAACACTCACTTTGCAAAAGTTAGGCCACAATATTGAAATTGCTTAGAAAGCACACCAGATGAATATGAGACTATTTCTGGTCCAAAAAAGTTGATGGCCTAGAAAACTCAACTTGCAAAAGTTAGGTCACAGTATTGAAATTGCTTAGGAACCACAACAGATAAATATGAGACTATTTCTGGTACAAAAAAAGTTGATGGCCTAGAAAAACCCAACTTGCGAAAGTTAGGCCACCACCTCAAAATGATCTAGAGAGGACCTAATATTCATCTGTTAGGTTTTCTAGGCCACCATAGTAACTGGCCTAGAAAACACGAGAATCATGTTGTTCAGTTTATTGGCCAAAACAGGTGGTGACCTAGAGAACTCACAATTTGCAAAAGTTAGGCCACCATGTTGAAATTGCCTAGAATTGTCCTGATATTTACCTGGTGGGTTTTCTAGGACATTTTAAAATGATGACCTAACTTTTTCGAGTTGAATTTTCTAGGCCACCAATTTTTATAGGCTAAAAATGACCTGTTATTTGCCTGGTGAGATCCCGGCTCTAGTATGAAATTCTGGTCCTTAGGAAAAAAAAATAAATAAAAGGTGTTCCTGTAAATGTATTTTTTCGTCGGAAAATTTCTTAAAATCCTAAAATTTCATCATTTCAGTGTGTTTTTGAAAGATTTCGATGGTAGACGTTCTGTCCATATTTTAATTAGTGAGTAACGCAAAAACAAGATTAATCCAAGATTGACAGTGTGCACCGTTATGGCCCACAACAAGTTGCAAACATTCAGGAAACTTTTGGATAACAATCCTCAAAAAGCCAGCTGGTTGCGACTCAAAGTACTCCTACAATCCAGTTTTTTTCTCATCAACAGCGTTTAATTATTTTTCCTCCCGGTGGCGTTGCGTAACTCCGAATACTCAATAATGAAAGGGCAAAATCAGGAAATTAAGGAAGAGTGAAAAAGAACCGTCCAGCTGAAACGGCTCAGGTCTTACTTGACTTTTCCTGCAACATAGGATTTTGCGTTTTTTAATCAAAGTCAAGTTAGTCCCAAGCCGCTTTGGCTGGACGGCTCTCCACGTTCCTTAAACTCCTAACTGGGTCTTTTCATTCGCGGCCAGTTTGCTTTAAGAAGCAAGGTATCTACAACATTGGGGGAACCCCCAGCGTCAAAAAAATGCTACAGCGTCCTGCTTAACTTATTTTAGTTGATTAATGATGCGATTCTGAGACCCGAAGATTCTTAAACCTAGACTTGAGTAAGTCAGCATTTCAAAAATTTTGAGAATCCGTGATTGCAAGTTGTAATTATTGAAAAACTCTAAATTATCATAAGTACAGAAGATCAAATATTCGGTGATTTAGAAATTCGTCATCTCAAAGAAAGTTTTCTGAGCTGTGCTTTGAAAAGTAGAACGCACATGTGTACCACCCCACAAAAGTAGATTGCCGCCCATGTGTACCACCTCACAGACTGAAGATTTAACACTTTTTGGATTTGGAGATTTCCCCAAACATGGCCATAATAAACTTTCAGAACCCCCGTCTATTCTTGAAACCCACTAAAATTTTGAAAACCCCTGTCTATCCTCAGACTCCCACCTATTCTTAAAACTCCCGTTAAATCATAAAGAGTCGAAATGTAAATATTTTCTATTTTCTTGATTTCGGTTTTGAAGATAGGACGCGGACCAATTGGCAAACGTTCTCACCAATTCATGATCTTCCGAATAAAGAGAAGTTTGAAGTCTACTGTCGAAATCTTTTAAAAACACATTGAAATGACGAAATTCAAGCATTTAAAGAAATTTTCAGACGAAAAAATACATTTGCAAGAACACCTTTTAGGGACCAGAATTTTTTTAAAGGACCAGAATTTTTCTAAGGACCAGAATTTTCTAAGGACCAGAATTTCATACTAGAGCCGAGATTCCTAGGTCATTTTAACGTGGTGGCCTAACTTTCGCAAATTGAGTTTCGAAGGCCACCACTTTTTTGAGTTGGAAATGACCACCTGGCATTCACCTGGTGGGCTTTTTAGATGGTTTTAACCTGGTGGCCTTACTTCTCAAAGTTGAGTTTTCTAGGCCACCATAGTAAATCGCCTAGAAAACACACGAGAATCATGTTAGGCAATTTCTACCGCAAAAAAGATGATGGCCTAGAAAACCCTAGTTGCAAAAGTCAGGCCACCGTTTTAAAATAACCCAGAACCCCCAATTTAGTGGTTCTAACGATCGAAATATTTTCTTTTTTTAATCCAAAATCTTTTTTTTCTTCGCAATTCATAATTTTCTTCTTCCAGATTGCTTACAAACGTCTTGCTGCAATTCTGATGCAACGTCAAGTGGACGCAATGCTCGAAAAGATAGTCTCTCGGCGAAAACTTCAAGTTGGCTCAAAAGCGCGTGCCGAGAAAATCCGGACATACAATTTCCAACACGACAAAGTGACGGACCATCGAATCGGAATGGCGATAACGGGCGTCGAGGAATTCCTATCGGCTGGCGAATCTCTGGTTTCAATGATCGATCGACTACAGGAACAACATATGGAGGATCGACTAGATCATATTATTGAGAATTGTATCGTTGCGTAATTTATTAGTTGTTTATTTAGGTTTCCTTGTTTTTTTTTTGTTTTTAGGATTAAATAAAACTTTATTGGAATGGCAGAAAATAGTAATAAAAACCAAGCATTTCATATATCGGAATTCGATTAGGCGAGAGCCGGACGTTCGCGATGAAGTTTGCCTATTCTCTTGAACATGTCGCCGAGAATGGCTTGGCTGTCCTTAAACTGAAATTATTAGGATATTTATTACGCTAAACTATTATGCGCCTTTAATACCGTAGCCATAATTTTTATTTTTTGTTCGTTTTCCTAGTTTTTTTGCTGATTTTTTTCTATTTTTCATAATATTTCAATAGATTAAGATTCAGTGAAAAATAGGCAAAAATGAACAATGAAATATTTTAACTACGGGTATTGAAGGCGCACAGTTTAATGAAAAAAATTCACTTCATTTAAAGGTGGTGTGCGGTGAAAAATTTTATATTATTAATCGAAAAGTCAAAGTGGGAACCGGTGGCCTAGCGGCCAGGTGTGAGTTTTCTAGGCCAACTGCCGGTAAAAGCGCGCGAAATTCGAATTTGTATTGATTTTCGGTGTTTTCTCAGATGTCTTTTAAAGATTTCAAAATGTTTTTGT